TTTTTTTTTTTTTTTTTGCCTTTTTCGTGACCGGTAAGGGGATTGCAACCCTTGGTGTGGTGTCGCCCACACCGCGCTCAGCCAGTGAGCACCGGCCATTCCTATATAGGATCCGAACCCGTGGCTGAGCGTCACTGCGCTCCCAGCACCGCACTCTCCCGAATGCGCCACGGGGTTGGCCCTGTGTGTCTTGCATTTTTATGTGTTTATTGTCTAGACTACCCCACCACCAAACTTAGTCTCCAGGGGAATAGGGATCTTGTCTGCTTATTTATTGCAGTGTCCTGAGAGCTCAACACACTGCTGGGCACACAGGAAGCACTCAATAAGAACTTGCAGGGAGGAGGATGCAGTGAAGGCAGCCAGACCAGTGGCAGGGAGAGTCTAGGAAGCAACAGCAGTGACCCCAGGGAGTGACGGCTGAGCCCAGACCAGGGCACTGGGAGCTGAAACAGAGAGGAGGAGAGCCCTGAGAAAGACTTAGGAGGTTCAAAAAATAAAAATAAAGAAGAGCTGGCCAATTAGCTCAGTTGGTAAGAGTGCGGTGTTTGGACCCCTGTACCGGCCAGCTGCAAAAAAAAAAAAAAAAAAAAGACTTAGGAGGTAAAATGACGTTGGTGGATTTGGTGATATAACCTTCCAGTGACTTCTCACCTCTCCCACGATCAAAATCACAGTCTTTGCAATGACCTTACAGCCCTATGTGATCTGTCCCCACTTCCTCTCTGATTCCTTCCTCCTCCTCCTCCCCCTCCCTTCCTCCACTCCAGCTCCACAATCTCCGGCTTGTCTTGAACCTCTGAGCCTGCTCCTACCTCAGGACATTTGCCACATGCTATTCCTCTGCCCGGCCACTCTTCCCTGACACTTCCATGGTGCCCTTTCTCACCTCCTTCAAGTCCCTGCTCCCATGTCACCTTCTCAGTGAGGCCTTCCCTCCCAGCCCTGTCCCCCTTCCTTGCTTCGTTTATCACCATAGTTTTTGTGGTAGCTCACCCTTTGGCATACCATGAATGAGGGTAGTTCAAAAAAGTTCATGGAAAAATAGAATTAAAAGATCATACGGGCTGGCCGGTTAGTGAAGTTGGTTAGAGCACAGTGTTATAACACCAAGGTCAAGGGTTTGAATCCCTATACCATCCAGCCACCAGAAAAAAAAAAAAGAGAGAGAGCGTGATAATACAAATCTTTCCATGACCTTTTTGAACAACTTTATACTTCCCTTGTTTTTTTACTAGCTATCTCTCCTCACTGCTAGTTTGTAAGAAGCAAGATTTCATGCCAGGTCACTCTGACCCCAGGGCACTTGCCCTTAACCACTGCACATTAGGGCTCCAGGGGGTTGCTGCCATCTGGATGCCCTGCACTCACAGCATGGAAGAGAGCCCACCCACATGGACATCCATGCTGCCCCCAGCTCCTGGGCTCTGGCACAGAGGAAGGCATCAGCCCTGTGCCAAGGTACCCCCAACCATTTCCCCCAAATCCTCAGGTGCTGATAATCTCCAGCTGGAGCCGCGTGCTCCTAGCAGCCTGTCCTCGGCTGGCAGGCACCAGCTCCTGGCAGAAGGGCCAGTGTGTAATTAGAAACTCCGCAAGCTTCTTAATTGCCAGTTCTTCTCCCAAACCGGGAGGCTAGTGCTATTCTGAGCCACCCTCATTGCCGACCGCCTGAGGCATGTACAGAGCAGAGCCAAGCTGGCATGGAGGTAGCCCTGGACAGGGCTGGTGAGGTCAGAGGGAACTTTACAGTGGGGATGGGCTGGTGCATGGCCACAGACCAAACGTGGCACAGAGAGGGCTGCTGCCCCTCATCGGGTGCAGCCATTTCTCAGTGCTCTTGGCCTGCAAGTCTGTTCTTGGCATTCTCGCCACCTTCCTTCCACCCCTTTGTTTCTACCCATGCCCAGAACAGTGACATCATACCAGCTGGGCCCATTCATTCTTTATTCAGGTGGCATAACAATCACTACAAAAACTTTACAAAAGAGCCTTAAAGAGCTAATGGGGCCCTTCCCTGCCTCAAGCTTGGAGAGAGGAAGGAAGGGGAATCCTGGCATTTCCAAGGAGCATGGGGAGACTGGGGAGACAGAGTGTTGGCGTGGGCTGGAGGCTGGGAGGTCTTCAGCAAGTTACATCAGAGTCAGGTTATGTTGATATTCAGTGTTCACCTACAGAGCAGGACATGAGGCCCGAGAGAGGCTGAGACAAGCCCATGGTGTCTGACCCCAGGACAACGCTCTGCCTCCTGAGTCACCACCAGGGCCTATCTCTCCTCTTCCCACCAGGGTGTCCTGGGACATGTCCAAAGGCAGCCTCTCCTTCCTGTCTCTCCCCTTCTGGTAAACAAAAAAAAGTGGAGGTGCCCCAGATGACTCAGGGAATAACCTAACCTATCTCCTGGTAAACTGGATCCACAGCTGCCCTACTGCACAAGCCCCAGAATAGGACACCCTCTGAGCCCCTTTGAAAGAAACGATGAGGGATCAGGCCCACGATTCCCTGATCCTGCCCTCCTCCCAGCCCCAGCCCACCCCAAACTGCTCAAGAGGAGATGGGAGAGAATGGCTCCTCTCCTCTCCCAGACTGCCCACCCAGGCCCCTGTCCCCCATCCCACAAAGCAGGTTGGAAAGAGTCACTTGAGTTGAGAGGCTGGTCCAGGCAAGGACTCAGGATGCTGGTGGTCATGACCCCTCACTTGGGGCTGTTAAACTGGGGATAATCCTCCTCCAAGGGGGGCTCAAGTTTCAAGTCAGGGCCAAAAAGCTTGTCTCCACGGGGGACGGCTTTCTGGTTCTGGGAGAAGTCCCTGTTGTCAGGAGAATCCTGCTGCTCCTTGAGCTCCCGCTGTGCACTAGGGTTGGGGTTCCTCACGCTGCCCACAAAGAGAGGCAGGCCAGTGGTGTCCTCGAGGATCAAGAAGAGGAATGGGCGGTTCACGCTGAAGGAGGAGAGGGACATGCGAGACATGGCTATGCCGGTTGCTGCAGCTGCCTCCACACCAGCTTCACTGAGCTCCAATGTGGACTGATGCTGCACGCTGGACACCACCAGCTTCTGGTCAGAGATCCCACGCAGGTCTGGGTCCTGGAACAGCTCCTGCAGGCCTGTCCAGGGCAGAAGATGGCTGGTCAGAGCTGCCCTCTGCCTCACAGGCTGTCTGGACCTAGATGGGAGGGTGTCTGGCATCCTGGCCAGGGAGCACCTCAAACCCACAGATTGATGCTTAACTTCTGTTTAACCTTCAAGTCTCAGCTTAAACATCACTTCCTCCAGGAAGCCTCCCTAATACCAAGCTCCAAAGTCCAGACAATGTGATTTTTCTTTTTTTAAAAGATGACCGGTAAGGGGATCTCAACCCTTGGCTTGGTGTTGTCAGCACCACGCTCAGCCAGTGAGCGAACCGGCCATCCCTATGTAGGGATCCGAACCCGTGGCCTTGGTATTCTCAGCACCACACTCTCCCGAGTGAGCCACAGGCCGGCCCTGACAATGTGATTTTTCAATGTTCTCCTGGGTGAACTGGAGAGAAGCCTTCTGTTTCTTTCTTTTTTTTTTTGTCTTTTTTCGTGTCCGGCAACGGATCGCAACCCTCGGTGTTGCGCCCGCACCTCGCTCAGCCAGTGAGCGGGAACCGGTCTGTATGTGGGATCCGAACCCTCGGCGGGAGCGCCGCCACACTCCCAAGCGGCGCACTGTAGCAGTGCGCCACCGGGCCGGCCGAAGCCTTCTGTTTCATCATGTATGTTGGAAAGTACCTGATTACTCATCTCTTCCCCAACCCCAAGTTAGACTGAGCTATTTGTATACGGTGGGCTCCCAGTGCCTAGCACAGTGCCTGGAATATAGAAGTTGTTTGGCTAATGGCTGATCGATAGATGATGGGTAGTGTGACATCCCAGCTTTTCCTTCTTCCCTTCCAGGACAGCCAGCGAGGCTCACATCCCAGGCTCTCCATCCAGGACTCTTTGTAATGCTCAGACTTGGGCAGCAGAGCAGGTCCCCTTCCCCTGGGTCACCCCAGGACAGAGGGCCCAGGGGCTCATATCAAACCCTCCCACCCTCCCTAAACCCTGGAAAAGGCCAGGACACAAGACTAGCTCTGAGTCAGACCCACTGCCAGCTGGAGGCTTCCTCCTCACCAGCCCTGCCCAGCCTGACCTAGGTGGCTGTCCCACACACAGCCTCCTTACCCAGCTGGCTGAGGGTGCTCAGCAGGTCCAGCTGGTGTTTCAGATGCAGCTTAGGCAGCCAGACCTTGGTGGGCTTCTCCCGCAGCAAGGGCTGGTGCAGGGTGTCCCAGCTCAGGTTGGTCAGTACCTGGGACACATTCCACTCAAAGTGGGTGGGCACAATGACCACAAAGCTCATGTTGTTCTTAAAGGGGAAATATGCCACCTACCAATAAGAGAAAGAGAGAACATGCAGATCAGAAAGCACTCACACCAGCTGGGCTCTGGGCCAGCGTGCACTTCTGAGACACATGGACTGGGGCTCCAGACCATCCTTGTCCAGCGTGTGCCTGACCTCACTGAGCCTACCCCTTCTCACCTGAGAAGTGGAGTAACACTACCTGCCCCACATAGGTCGACATGTGACCAGATGAGATACAACAGTTCTCAAGCTTCTAGTAGTATCTGCACTCATAGGTGCAACTCAGTAAAGGGTGGTTTTCTCTCTCTTCATCTGCTACCAGCTAGCAAGGGACCTGGGGTAAGGAATCTCCTCTCTCAGCCTCTGAGTTTCTCCAAGGTGTACCATGGACGGGGTCCCTGGTTTCCAAACTGCCCCAGGGTCCTGCGGAGCAGTGACAGCAAAGGGTGGACCTCTTTCTCCTCCTCTCTTACCCTCATCCAGGGACTTTGCCAGACTCTGCGATTTGGGGTAAGGTTCACTTGAAGGGGTTTCTACAGCTAAAGCAATGTGGAAACCACCAGTCTTGAGGGTCTCTTGCAACCGTGATTCCTTGGGTTCTAGGCAGAGCGCCTATACACAGGACCCCTGCCAGTGGGGGAACAAGAGCCAGGGTCTGCCTGCCTGGGCCTGAGGAAGAGGAAGGCCGAGGAGGACAAGGACATGGAGACAAAAAGATAAAGGCAGAGCGGGCAGGACATAGCCTGGGGTGAAGGAGCAGCAGGAAGGGGAGAGTCAGTGGGGAGGGGAACCAGACCATCCTCTTTTCTGGGTGAATGGGAGAGGAGATCTGAAGCTGCTCCAGGCCTACCTCACTCCCAGCCCCCTCTCAGCCTCCTGTCCAAGAGGCTCCTTCCTGCAGAAGTGACGGTGCTCTGTGTCAAGCTTGGCTTGTGAAAATAACCGACACTGCCATCGCAGCCACAGCCCAGGAATCAGTGCCCAAGCCAAGGAGACCACATTTAGGCTAGAAGCAAGGGAGACCGCACCTGAGATAGCACGGCACAGAATTCTACCCAATCAGAATGTTCCCTGCAGGATGCTAAGAAATCCAACCCAGTCAGATCCTCCCTTCTAAGGAGCACTGCATGAGAGCTCAGGCCAAATCTCCCAGGCTTGGGGGTGCTGAGGCCCTGAGTGGCTATATGGCTGCTGGGGTGGTCCCTGTGCTGCCCCACATCCATAGGTCCTTGTAGTAAACCCCCATCACCAAAGGTGACCTGGGTCAATGTATCCTCCTCAAAGAATTCTCCCTGTCCACTCTATCTAAAAAACCTTCTCAGTCAATAACAGATTGCCTTCTTTTTCTTTTTCCTTCATAGCACCTAACACTATCTGAAATTATCGTTATTGATTTACATCTGCTCTTGTACTGTGGATCTTCCCTCCTAAGAACAGGAACCTGGTCTTCCATGTGCTCCCCTAAAAACCCAGTGCCTGGAACAGTATCTGTCACACAGTGAATGCCCAATATATTTTAGTTGAATGAATGAACCACAAAGAGCCTGAAGCCTCAGTCCTCCTGGGTGGGCTCTGCCTGCCCCAGGGACACAACTGCAAGGAAGCTGGGACACCCGCTCTTACCCCTGTGTCTGCTCCACAGCCTGCCCACTCCCTTCCCCACTTCCCAGTACCCAGGCCTGGCCTGCTGGGCAACCAAAGGTAACCTGGATCTCAGGCTGCTGCAGCAAGAACCAGCGCAGAGGGTACGTGGCTTGCATCATGTCCACTGGCACCGTGAACTGCTCATCCAGGTGGAAGGAGTCTCTCTGGGTGAGGCTTGGGTCAAACTTGCTCTTCCAGAAACCTGCAGCCAGGCAGAGGGCAGAAGCCACATGGACTGGGGCCAGCCTGGGTTCTATACCCCCAGCCTCTTGCCCATCCCATTCAGGGAATGAGAGGTGGAGGTCAAGACCCCAGGGGGTGCTGTGCCAACTTGGCACCCAGTTGATCTCAGGTCTCTTCCCTGTAGCATTTTTGAAATCTGGGCTTCTATTTGCCCCATCCCTTACAATGCTCCCAGGAACCTCCCACTGGGTTTTTTCAGGCCAGTTTCCCTCCAGTTCTTCTCTCCACAATAACCTCACCCAGTTCCTGGGACCCCTTCCCCACCATGCCCAGACAGCCCCCTGCCTCATGGCCCAGCCTAAGGAGGAAGACCCTCAGAACAAAGCATGCACAGCCCAGCTCAGCCTACAGCAGGGAACTTCAGAACAGGAGGAGCGCACCCTGGAAGTGGATGGCATTGAGGAGAAGCAACACCGTGTTATCTGGCAGCTCCGAGAGGAAATCTTCAATCTTCCCCTCTGTGGCCTCCTTCACCCATTGGTTGATGTTCGCCAAGTCATCCTCCTGCCTGCCCGTCAGGTTCATGGGCTTTGCACCAAAAAGCTGTTCTGATTGTTCCAGGAAATCCTCTTTGATGGGAAGTCCTGCACACAAGGGGCCACAAACTATTCCTAGGCTCTGGGCTCCACAGCCACCAATGCTCCAACTGGCTACCTGAGGCCAAACCCATCTCTCTCACCCTTGTCCACCCCCGGGCATTACCTAGGGAGTTCCCTGCTATCAGCGCCTACCTTTCTGCAGGTACATTCTGGCAGCCAATCGGAATGCCCCAGGGCCCAGGTTCTGGCAGAGGTGGCTGAGCAGATGGGGGAGGCAGGGCTCTGAGTCTGCATGTAGCACCTGTTGCAAATTCTGCAGCGTTTGGTTCTGAGCACCTGGAGGGGACCGCATGGGCTGAGGCCCAGGCTGGGGGTTCCTTCTCACCCCCACTGCCCACTCCAGTCCCTCATGGATACCCCTGATGAGCATGTCTGCAGGAGCACACCCTCTTCTCCCATATCCACTAAACTAGTCTGAGTGACAGGACTCCAGAGTTCTATTTTCTTTCTTTTTTTTTTTTTTTTTTTTCTGCTGGCCAGTACAGGGATCAAACTCTGGACCTTGGTGTTATTAGCACCATGTTCTAGCCAGCTGAGGTAATTGTCCAGCCCTGAGTTTTATTTTCATCTCTGCTGCTGACAGGCTGGGCAACCTCATCTCACGGAAGTTGCCTTCCCTCTTAGGACCTCAGTTTCCCACGACGGGAACCTCCTGTCCAATGAGAGACATTGTAGCTATCAAACTCTTACACAAAAATTACCAGGGGAACTTGTGAATAAGCAGATTCCCTGGCCCAATCCCTGGGAATCTAATTTACAGAAACTGGTTGGGGCCCAGGAATCTGCAATTTTACCAAACATCCAAGTAAGCCTGATAGAGGAGCCAGCCACACATAACTTCTGAAGTAGTGAGTTCCTACTGGCCTCCCAGCTCTGCTGGTCTGGACAGGTGCTGCCACATTACCTAGCGCCAGGTGAGACAGTGCCAGGGCCACACTCAGGGGCGACAGGATGAGGTTGGGGCTGGTGGTTGTTTGGGCCACCAGGGAGAACAGGTCAGTGGAGAAGGCCATCATGGCCTGGGCCAGCCTGCGGATCTGCTCTGGGGTTGGGGCCCCCTTGCAGTCTCCTGGGGCCCTCTTCAAGGCAGTCTGGCCATCAGGCTCCTGCAGGGACAGATCAGGGGTCAGCGAGATCAAGGGGTCAGCTCCAGATTCTGTGTTGAAGGTCTTCATAGCCCTTGTGCCTGGGGGTTGCACGGCCTTGTCCTAGACCTGACGGGACAGGGGGAGTCACACGTGGGCACTAGCGTTCTGGGGACTGGCTCCCCTCCTTTGGTCCTTCCCACGCTTTCCCTTCTGGTCTCACAGCCACGCCCCCCAGTTCTCTTCCCCCTGCTGATTGGCCCGCCTCCCTCTGGCCCCGCCCACTCTCCCCCAGCCCCACCTGGTTGTACCTGGTTGCCCAACTTGAGGAGGGCAAGCGGGGGTAGCTTCTCCTGGGTCGGCCCGCTGATTAGCTGCAGAAGGAGGAAGCACATGGACAGCGACCCTTGTCACAGGTCCCCTACCCTGCCCAAGCCACAGGCGAGACCTCTCGGGGCCTCCCTCCCCATCACAGGCTTCTCACTCCCCATTACCTGCTGGCCCGAGGGCTCCGTGGCACTCACGGGAGAGAACTGTCGAGAAACGGATGCGGCTAGAAGGGGGAGTCTCCCTCCAAACCCTGCCTTGCCCAGCACCCTCCTCCTCCCCCTCCGCCCCTCTGGCCTCTCCCACACCCACGCCCCCCACCGCAGCGTCCTCTTCCACTCGACCGAACCCACTCCGCCCAGACCTCCGCCGGGCCTCACCGCGAAGCAAGGGCCATGCAGGCAGGACAAGCTGAGCACCAGGAGCCCCCGGAGCAGCGCCATGTTCCTGTGTCAGAAACAGGAAGACTGAGTTCTCACCTCCCCTCCCCATACCGGCCATGAATCCTGCCCACACATTCACCCACGTGGCCAAGTCCTGAACAACTACTGCCAAGGGGGAAAAGCCGGCTACAGAACCAGAACACGGCACCCAAAACGCATCAGCAGTGGTTCTCATTTCTGAGGGGTGGGATTTCCCCCCTGACTTTTTGGCACCCCCTTTTGTAGTTTCGGGCTTTTCACATTTCATGCACTGAGAATGTTTGGGTGAATAGGGGGGAAACATCAGAACAAAAAGTCCTCATTCTTCAAGGCCTCGCCTTATGAGTCAGACCTGGGTTTGAGTCCAGGCTCTGCCTCTTGCCTGAGAAACTTACCCTTGGGGCTTTGCTTTATCTTTTAAAATGGTGGCAAAAGTTCCTACATCCTTCCATGTGTATTGTGATGACTAAAATAAGAGTCTTCGTAAACCCAGAGTGCAATGCCTGGCATTTAACTGATGGCTGCTGTCAGCCTAGTTCAAGACTCCCACTTCTGGGAAGTCTGCCCTGAAGCCTCTTCCATAGGGCTCCCACCCAGAGCTCCTATCCGATCTGCTGTCCATTTGGCCAGCCTTTCCTTCAGTCTGGTCAGGTCTTGCCCACAAGGATGGACAGGCCTGAGGCCCTGAGGGCTCAGCAGGGGTGGTGGGGTGGCTGGTGAGCTGCCTTGTTGATCCAATAGCAGGGCCCAATGAATGAGTCTGGCCAGAGCCACCTTTGGACTTAACGGGAATCACAGCCTTGCCCCCAACTCTGCACCAAGCCGGCTCTGGGAAACCAAGCTGGTGGGTAGGGATGGACAGGTCTTGGTCTGGGGGAGGATAAATCAGCCCTGGGCTGCAGCCTCGGAGCAGGTCTCACACCCCCTACTCCCACCCCATACCTACCTTGGGGTCAATCCTTCTGGAGGATCCTTCTATCACCCCTGGCCCCACTACCATCACACACAAGGGCCATTAGGTAGGGCCCTGATCTCCAACCTGGGCTTTGAATCTTCCTAGCAAGAAAAGGCCTCCAGCTTTTCAAGTCTCAGAGGGACTCCTGGAGCTCCTACCTTGGCTCCTCATCACCCCAGGAAGCTGGGAAACTATACATCTTCTGAATCAATTCAGCCCAGACCCCTCACCCAGGGGGGAAGCTCCCCACCTCCTTTCCTGCCCAAAGAGTAGGCCAAGCCACCCCTCCCCTCGTACCTCTGCAGGCTCCTTGCTGCCGAACACGATGTTCCTCTGGCCCCACTTGGGTGCTCCCCACACTCTCCCCGGGATCCAGCCAGCCCAGCCTACCCCTCCCCTCCCACCAGGACCTTTGCTCTTAGCCAACCCCTGTTCGGATTGCTTGCTCTTCTGGTAAATATTGACCTGCACATCCAGTTAAACATTGATATTGGGGCCAGAAGCCCCTTTCCCACCAGGGCATCTTATCCTGAGATGGTCACCCAGAGCCCCCATGGATTTGGGTCCACTTGAGCCTGGAGGAAGGAGGTTTGGGATGAGACAGTTGAGGAGGCTGGGTCTGGCCAGCCAAGAAGGCAGATCCAGGACAGGGGCTGGCACTGTATCAAGCCCTCCAGTGACTCCTCGAAGCGGAGATTATCCCTGAGTCAATCAGGCTCAGAGAAGCTATGTGACCTGCCCAAGGACACAGAGCTAAGCCCAAAATCACATCCAGATTCCCACTTACAATGTCCTTTCCTCTTCCTCATAGCTCCCTCCCGCTCCCAAGGGGAGAGAAGGGGAGGCTGCAGGAGCCTATGCAGAAAACCCAGAATAGGATGTCCACTCCCAACCCTCACAAGCCCAGGATCCTGGTTGGCTGCCTTCAGCCTGAGCCCAGAAGGCAGGATGGAGAGAGGAGAGATGCAGAGGGATGCAGCCTCTCCCAGCATCCTCCCTCTTCAGGAGCAACGCCTCCTTATCCTCCCTCAAGATGAGGCCTGGGGCTTCACGAACCGCAAGCCCTGCACTCCATGCTGCCCCAAGAGCAATGACTGGGTTACTTCCCCTAATACTCCTCACTACCCTGAAAGTTTCTGGGTATCAGCTCTCAGTTCTCCCGCCCCACCCCCTCCTCCTGCCACCACCATCAAGACAAGCCTCACTCCATTCCATGGCTCCTCCAAAAGATTTATTGGTCATATTTACATCTATTGCAAATAGTGAGGAGGCAGCAGGGGCAAACTCTCAGACCCCATCTCTGTTCCAGAATGTGAGGACCCAGGGATGTCTGGGTCTGCCTGTCTCCTGGGAGACCTGGGATACAGAGATGATTCTTCTTGCCCCTTCTCTCAGGGTCTTAGACACCCACTCCTCCCCAGGGGTTCTGGGCCCAGGGGCTGCCTCCTCAGCTCAAGGCACAAACACTGTGGTTAGGGGTGGGCAGGCAAGGCATGGGGCCACACCTGGCAGGCATCAGCTGGCCCAACCCACCTTCTCTCTCCTGAGCCTTTTTCTTCCCCTCCTGGTCCCCACACTGGGCTGGGCCTGGATGGGTGGACACTGAAACCCCAGAACAGGCCCTTAATTCCTGGACCATGGTTAGCCCTCCTTAGGTTGTAGTCCAAGCATCATCAGTGCCCTGCAGGACTAGCTTCCTTGTCCTTAAGGGACAGGGGCAGAGAGAGCCCAGCAAGAGTGAGGGGGCGGGTCCCTGGCTAGAGACAGGAAGGGCCAGTCTCTCTTCTTCTCTCCAGAGCTTCCTTGCCCAATGTGGATCCAGAGGGCAGAGTTGGAGAGAAGCAAGGGGAGCAATGGTTTACCCTGCTCTCTTTACTTCCTGCTGGCTAGGAGCAGCATGTCCCTGAACCATGAATGAAACCCCTTCTGGCAGCCTTGGTGGCTCTGGGATTCAGGGGCCAGGACCCGCCACCCCCGCCAAAGCTGGAGGCCCTAGCTGACAGGCCATGTGGGTACACAGGGCATGGGGCCTGGGACCTCCCTGGAGGGAACTGCTAGGGGAACATGGAAAGCTGGACTCCCAGGGATGTCTGCCCACCCTTTCCCAGCCAGCTGCCATCTCAGCCTATGCCAGGAGGCGGATGACCCCATTGTCTGAGCCCAGCAGGAGGTGGCGTTTGGTGGGCAGTAAGGCCAGATTGGTGAGTGTGCCGCGGAAGTTCTCAGAGCTGAGCTTCGTGGTGGCCTGGGAGGGTGGCTCAAGCAGGGAGCAGACGCCAATCTTGTTGGCCACAGTACCAGTGACCACCTCACTGCCGTACAGGTCGAAGGTGTGGATGGGATCAGATGCCGATTTGTAGTGGTGCGTGGGCTTCTGCTCCAGCTCCTTCCAGACGGTCAAGGAGTGGTCAGAGGAGGAACTGACCAGGACACTGCCCTCCACCGCCTGCCCAGGGAAAGGAGAACCTCAGCAGGGGCCTGGGCCCTCCTGTTTACACACCAAGACCCAAGGTCTTCCCATTTCCTCCCACAACATCTCACAGGAAAGACAGGCCATCCTGAGTGGGTGACAGGGTGCCACCCTCCCACATCATATTCATGTTAGCTACTATTAACACATTAAGTGTGATTAACCTAGTCATCACTCTAATTGGAGAACTTACTATGTGCAGGCATTGTACTGGGCATGTCTGCATTACATTTAATTTCCATAGCAACCACGTAAAGTTGATGCAGCCATTGCTCCCATTTTATGGAGGAAAAAACAGGCTCAGAGAAGTTAAGCAATCACACCAAGGTCACAGAGCCAGCAAGTGGCTGAGCCAGGATTGACACCCAGGCTGACCCCAGAGCCCTCCTGACACTTTCCTGAAAAGGAATTTACAAGCACCTGGAGCACAGGGTCCCCTGGGACCCTGGAGGGAGCAGGGAGCAGCCTGTCCTCAGCAGAGGCAGTGTATGTCACCTGGCTTCCACCCAAGCTCAGGAGGAGAGTCCCAGTTGCCTGGAGAAATCCTCGGACAAGTAGTCCTGTTCCTCCTGAGGCCTATGATTGGTGGGGGAGGGGATGTCAAAGTTGAATCATGAAGAACTAGAAAACCTGAACACACCAATAACAAGTAATGAGACTGAAGCAGTAATAAAGTCTTCCAGCAAAGAAAACCTCAGGACCAGATAGCTTCACTGGCAAATTCTATCAAACATTCAAGGAAGAACTAATACCAATTCTTCTCAAACTCTTCCAAAAAATTGAAGAGGAGAGAATACTTCCAAACTCATTCTACAAGACCAGCATTACCCTCACACCAAAATCAAAAAAGACACAACAAAAAAAGAAAACTACAGACCAATATCCTTAATGAACACAGATGCAAAAATCCACAACAAAATACTAGCAAACCAAATCCAACAACACATTAAAAAGATCGTACACCATGATCAAGTGGGATTCATCCCAGGGATACAAAGATGGTTCTACATACATACACAAATCAATAAATGTGATACATCACATCCACAGAATGAAGGGAAAAAATCCATAGGATCATCTCAATAGATGCATAAAAAGCATTTGTTAAATTCAGCATCCCTTCATGATGAAAACACTCAACAGATTAGGCATAGAAGGAATGTACCTCAACACAATAAAGGCCATATACAACAACCCCGCAGCTAATATCATACTCAATGGACAAAAAAAAAAGATTTGGAACAAGCCCACTTTCCCCACTCTTATTCAGTATAGTACTAGAAGTTCTAGCCCGTGCAATAAGGCAAGAGAAAGCAATAAAGGGCATTCAAATAGTTAAGGAGGAAGTCAAATTATTTCATTTTGCAGATGACATGATCCTATATCTGGAAAACCATAAAGACTCCACCAAAGAATTACTGGAACTAATAAATGAATTCAGTAAAGTGGCAGGATACAAAATTAACACACAAAAGTCAATAGCCTTCCTAAACGCCAACAATGAAATAGCCAAAGAAGAAATCAAGAAAGTAATCCCATTCACAATAGCTACCAAAAAAAGAAATACCTAGGAGTAAATTTAACCAAGGAGGTGAA